GTCAGTATCATAAACATATAAGTACTAGTTTCCATTTACACGCAGCAATTATTAATTATTATCCATTATAACCGACCGTAGGTATAGTAGCCAGTAGGTACCCCATACTGAGTTTCCACTAAACCAATTTTATTGCAACTGTAATCACTTCTGTTTGTAGTATTAATGAAAATGCATAAATTGTTATTCAAACCAATGTGCATCATTTCATATTGATTTTATTTAATGAATAAACGTTTACAATATAATATACTGTATTAATAGTCAATTTTCAATATATCTATGAAGAATAGATAAAACAATACTAATACGGATGTCGGCTGACGACTGTACCTAATGTTTTTAATTGTTAATTATTTTTTAATACTTAGGCACACGTATATACGGGCACACGGCGTAGGTATATCTGACGAATTACCACTAGCTAAAAGTACCATTAGCAGGTAGCTTGTACGTTAATGTAGTTAAGTATAATCCGAGTATGATGATATATTATTACTACTAACTTGTACATTAACTTGTTTATGTATAGTATTTAGCTTATAGTTGAGTTTAATCAATTTGTATTATCTGTAACTGAATGTAAAAAAAAATTGTTTGTGAAAATAAGTGTACGGACGCAGGTACAATGTACACATTTTGCTTATAAGTTATTTAAACATAACAATATAATATTAAAACGTTTAAACATAAATTATAATAAAAGCTGTGGAATAAATATTATATTATTCAGATTTAACTTATGGTTAGATATATCCATATAGTTATTAATGATAATATATTGATTTATTGTATAATAAATAAACCTGATTACAGATTAGTGATTGATGATATTGTGCATTTTAGTCTACATATTTTAGTCTATTTATTTATTTATTTGTTCCCAAACAAAAAAATATCCAATAATGTATAGGTACCTAGTACCTACATAATTATATCAACTAAGGAAACTAAACTTTTTAATACGGTACCTCTTAAGTTCTAATGACTTTTCCTTTTAATATTATTAATACTGAGATACATACATCACCTTCATCAAATTAAAAATAATGAATAAAACATTAACAATATAGTTTGTTATTTCCTAGTTCGCCGACACCACGGTTATCTACACCTGTAGATAACCGTAGTTGACGTCTAATTCACCTCCAATCGGTATTCAGATCATTGTATTTATATAAGTGCTTACATAAAAAATATCTGACATAGAGATATAATAAAAATAAATATAATGTAGTATAATATTATGACCCTGTGGTTTGGACATACTTAAGTTTACATTTTTCAATATTGCACGACCGGCATAATTATCCACGCACTTATGCTTTATACTTTATAGTATTCGTTGTTTCAGTATATTCTGTGAATATTACAAGTGTTAATCTCAAGAAAGACTTGATTTTTTTCCAATTTTAAGCCATACCATAACGGCGAAAAAATAAAATGAATAAATTATATGAATGTTGTATAATATTATAGTGTTTACTAGCTGTTTGTTACAGTACCTATCTAGTGGCTATAGTGCTCAAGTTCACGTTCACGCAGTGATAAAATATTACTACAAACTAAAATCATAAATTTTATTTAAAATCCACAGGGGACTTTTCAGTTATTTATTAATTTATATACTTATAAGTAGGTACCTATGTATAATATTATATTGATTGATGTCAATCATTAAGTTATAATAACCTATGTAAATCCAGTGTTGGGGAGTAACTTAACTTAAGTTACAAGTTACTGTAACGAAATTACTTTTTAAGTAATTTGATGGTAATTTAATTACATTTTATTGTAAGTAATTTATATGTAATTTAAGTTACTTTTTTGTAGTAATTTTTACTAAATTACTCGTTACTTTTTTTTGGATTAATACATTTTTTAGAACGTACCTCCTATTGGCTATTGATAATATTGTTTGTAGGTAAATATTAAAATATATCATAATATAACTTATTAGTATTTTAATTTACAGGTAAAATTGTATGAACTGTAGGTACTATTTTTGTTATACCTATTGACAGTTCGACTATAAAGTGACTTTTAGAATGGAATTCTTATCTTTACTCTGTACTCTGTGTTGTATCGTCGCGGACGGCTCACGGCGTCAGCGTCTGCGTATACAGCATTGTTGGAACTATCAATAAATAGTAATAATAATAAAAGTGAGGGAGACGGAGTGGCCGAGCGGACTAAGGCGTTGGTGGCAACGCGCACCGTAGCTGGTTGGAATCTCGGTAACGGGCAGACTACAGGTGCCCAATTTGAAATTCTTTCAAGCTAAAACACACGTGTTTACAAAAACCTACCGTACCCTCCATCTCAGTTAAAAACCACCCAATTGCTGCGGGTTAGTTAATATAAAAAAAAAATAATTAATAAATAAATGTGTGGCTTGGCTGCTAGCTACCAGTCGCGCAATACGACTGAGAGTAAGTTGCGCCCGCTGCTACTAGTTCCCGGATGGGTGACCACCCGGATTCGTAGTAGTAAAAACCTTGCCACACTTACACGTGTTTACATACATACCGTAACAACACTTTACCATACCAAATTTACCAACCACAGTTTATAATCCCCTACAACAGCTTATGGCCATAGTTTCCGGGCTTAAGTTCAATAAAAATAATAATAATAATAGTGTAGCAAAATGAGTATCTGCTAATAATTTCACATTTTTGATTGGTATTACCTATTGAGTTTATGTATTGTTATATTGACAACATGATTATTAAGCTCCAGTGATATTTTTGAAAAAAAGTAACTTCTATTGTAATTCAGTTACTTTTTAAACTCAAAAGTAATGTAACTTAACCTTATTAAAAAAAAAGTAACTTTAAAATAATTTAGTTACAATTTTGATAAGTAATTAGTAATGTAATTTAATTACCAAAAATAAGTAACTTCCCCAACACTGTGTAAATCATGAATCACGATAATAGATAGGTTCACACATTTATGTAGAATGCCATTACCTATAGTTGTATTGCTATGCCAAGAAGCAAGTAGCTCATATTATCATAGTTGTTGGAGAATTGGACATTTTTCAAAAAACATTAAAAACTGGTTGTAGATACATAAAGATATGACCTGCTGTAGTGCAAATTCCCGGCACTCCCCTGTAAGAACGTCAACAAATTGTAACAATTGTCTACTGCAATGACAGACCTCCTCCCAATAAAACACACATCATTGTAGAATCAATATTCAATACAAGCATTGCTCAGCTCAGAATCTAAAAGGTGATATTATTACAGTACAACTTAATTGAAAAAAATAATGTAATGATAAATAATGAAAAAAAAATATTGGATTATTATTTATTTTTGAAACCGACATAATGTGATAACGTTGATAATACGTCAACATATTAAACAACAGGATGAACGTGAAATAAATGTACATAATATAGGTACTCGTATTAATATTATATGCAATAATTCAAGTAAAAAATATTTTTATCTTATAAATGTGTGTTAAATATGTAGGTAAATATATATTACCTTCTTTCTTTATTTTAGAAAATTGTGAGATTTTTATTATTTTCATAATACTATATGGAGGGAAATTCTACCAACCTATGAATCCTAGCAAAAATTTTAGAGCCCAAGTTCCCCTTGCTGCATTGCCCTTCACAATTACACCACTGGCTGTTACAATGTCATTAGATACTATCGCACTATCAAAAAGTGCATGATATTATATAGATTATAGTTCATAGTTCATTATTTGGTGTAAATTGTATAACTCGACTGCTTGAGTCTCACCTAAAGTTAATTTTCATACACTAATGACTTTGCTTTTTTAGGGCATTACAAGCATTTTTGTCCATAAAAATTAGAGTTTTCTACTTTTCTCCACTGATGACATCCCCTATACAAAACGTATGTATACAGTATAGTCAGTATATGCCACTAGCTTGTCGTTCAAATTCAAAATATTATCATATTTTTTTTTCATAATTAAATATTTTTATACAACATATTTTTTTAGGCTCAAATAACAAGATTTTACTATAATAATAGCCACAATCTAAACAAAAAAAATGGAATATAATTATTTTTACACCGGATTTCCTATTAGGCATAGCAAGGTACCTACTACCTACTTATCGTGTTTGTTAATCGACACATAATTATTTACATTATTATATTATATTATCTTATCTAACTCTATTGTGTATTATTAATTTAATTCAAACAATTATTGTTCAGAAATTTTCCGATTTTACTTATTTTGACCGGAACAAATAATAAAATGTTTTTTGAAAATATGTCACGTCCAAAGTGTATCTGTGTAATGTGTATATGTAGGTATAAATGTATAATATAATATTTTAAAAATATTGGTGATAATGTAAAATCTCAAATATCTATAGAGTACAGTCAGTACAGAGTCTACGATATAGGATTATAGTGATATTACGATATACTCGTAGGATTATAGTGATATAATGTTAATTAAATCTTTCAGTGTTGCTTATGAAAATGGACGAAAGGCAAAAAGTTAATAAATTTAATAATATTATTGAAATATTATTCAATCGGCGAGCACACCGTATTGTGAGTAGAGTGTTATTTACTGTTATTTAAATAATATCTGCCTTACCGGTTAACCACCTAAATATTATTATACCTAAAGTTACAACCGGCACCGCGTGTGACCTTTTCTCGCTCCAATGTCAGAACACCACAGTTAAACCGCCGTCCCCGACCACCACTCCACACACTTAATAACCTGTACACGCCATAATGATATTCACGCACTCTGTAGTCCGTACGAACGACCGCTCTACGCCGCCACCGATCGTATATGCACTACGTAGTTATAGGTACACTGCAACCGTTATCAACAGTTATCACCAACCACTCCGCGTCAGCACTCATCATCACTAGTTGGCCGACTTTTAAACTGTTCACTAGTTCACCCGCAGTCTCCGCAGATTCGTACTTCGTTGTTTTGCTGACGTGCACACCAATCCGTTCTCAGAAACACGCACCATGGTAAGTACTCACGATGGACCGCATTTAAACCATAATATTTCATTTGTTTTGTCATAACAATCATACTAATATATTATTAGTTATTATATTATAATATTGAATATGTATAGTTGAAAAACAACGTGTTCGTAAGGTTTTGTCTCCTTAGGTAAACAAGAATCATTTTTTACCTGTTGATTTTTGGCTGTTGCCTAATCTCGAGGATATACCATAGATTTATCAATATTTACATAATTACATAATATGCAATGTAATGTATTATCATGTCCCTGTTTTTGTGTGTGAGAACCACTGTGAAATGACTAATAATGTCATCAAGTGTGACACAAAACCAAAATCTAAAAATCCTTATATCTTACTGATATGATCATGCACATTTATAATATTATATTGTGTTTTCAGTCTTTCGAAGAAGCAGTTGATAAGGTAAAGAACTTGAAGCAAACTCCCAGCGACGCCAATTTGTTGGAGCTCTATGCTTACTACAAACAAGCGACTATTGGTGATGTAAATACAGGTAATAAGACTTGATACTAATATAATATGATATATTATATGTGTACTGACATAACAATTTTTTATGTTTTACTTAGCCAAACCTGGGTTTTTGGACTTTAAAGGAAAGGCCAAATGGGAAGCATGGAATTCAAAGAAGAGCACAAGCAACGACGAGGCTAAAACAAAATATATTGAAATTGTTGATAAGCTTGTTGAAGAAATCGGCCTCAAAGATTAAACGGAAAGGCTCACCTAATGCTCACACACATGCTACACACAAACATTTACTTATAAAGTTTACTTAATCTATTTAATTTAATGATTACAAACCATACGTATGTTATATTCATATATAATATATATTAAGATAACCAAGCTTGTTTGGTTGCATTTTAAAGTGTGCTTCTAAGTCACGCAGAAAGACTATTCTATACTTTTATGATCAACTTTGTTAATTTACATCACAGTAAAATTATTGTTAGTTTATCAACATAAATACATAAATGTATTTTCAATATTTATGTATTTATTTACACATTATTGTAGATTAATAATTATAAAATTATAAACATTCTCAATGATATTAGTTTATAACTATACACATTATATATTTATTTTTTAAAAGTGCCTTAAATTAAAATATTTGTTTTTATGAATTAAGTGATGCGTCTTTTTACTTTCTTCAAATTGTTATATTATATCAAGTCTTATAACTAGGGTCTGGACTTACAAAACTTAAAATAATATGCATTTTTGAGGATTGATGCTTATATTATGCATTTCCTACATTCTTAATTTATTTTTAATTAAGCTTATTGAAATTAATATAATATCCAATACTTTCTTAATATAGTATTCGTATTTCTTACTTTCAAGTTAAATAAATAATGTTTTAAAAAGAATTAAGTTTTAAAGTCATGAAATAATGTTTCTACTAATTTTTTTTTAATTATTTGTGATATACATGTATTAATATTATAGCTATAAAATATAACAAGAATAATAACTGTATAAACAAACTAAAGAATAAATAAATTGTTAGTGCATAATGTTCAATTGTGATTGACAATTATAAAAATTAAACATTAAAGTTCAATAAAATAAACTTAGTTTAAAGTTTATAGATATATCAACTTAACAACTATGCATATGGCATTTGGAAATTAAAATATTTTTAAAACATAATTTCCAAATATTTTAATTAAAATTATAATCAACATTATAAAATTTGAGTACAAATATTTTTTGAATATTGCACTTTAATTAAAATATTTGGAAATTATGTTTTAGAAATATTTTTATTTCCAAATGCCATATGCATAGTTGTTAAGTTGATATATCTATAAACTTTATCACAATTGAACATTATGCACTAACAATTTATTTATTCTTTAGTTTGTTTATACAGTTATTATTCTTGTTATATTTTATAAATTACTTATAGTTAATAATAAAACAAATAATTGTGACATTGTCACTCTTTTCTTTCTTAAATTAACAACTAGTTGTTGTTTGATATTATAATCTACAGTGAAAATAAAAATAAAAATCTATCAAAATATGCATTTATATGCTAAGTTAAATTTATATCCATTCTCTTCTACTCAAATTGACCATACTTCTCTTTTCTATCAAAAAATATCAATAAAAATATGTAATTCCTTATAAAATATAAATCCAGACCCTACTTATAAACATATAATTATCTGGCTGAAAATTAGGGTTAAGTCAATTATTATATTATTCTATATATTATAACTGAGTGTCATGAAATAGGTACCTACCAACAAATTATTGACTAGTTCAAAATGGTCATAAACTTTAAAATGTTTAACAATAAACATGTATTTTATGATTTCTGGACTTACAACAGACATTTAAAACGTAATACTTTAAATAGATACGTATTAATATTATTGAAAATGAATAGATAATATCAATAATTGTTCTATTTGAGTTATAAAACTAATACCATTCATCAATTTATACTTTTTGGTAGTAATTAACTACCTATCAATATTATGTAATATTGTTTAATAGGTGCCTACTTAACCTATTAAATAATAACTAGGTACCTAAATGATACTATTATTCTATTCTATATACTCTAAAGTATTTATAATAAATGGTTATACATTTTATACTTTATTTCCTGGTTTTTATTCCCTCAGGATCTAAATATTTATAACATAAAGACATTTGTACAGATAACTACATAATTTTAAATATTAAATCTTCATTTCAAAAATATTAGTTTTTACTTTTAAGTAGGTAGGTAGGTAATTATAATTTATATTATGTAGGTAACTTACCAGTTTTAAATTATAAACCTAGCAGTAAAATAAAAGCAAACTGGTCACTTTTGATATGCTTGAGTCAATATAAGAAAATAATTTATTGTAAATACATCAATACATTTATTTTATTGTAATATAAAATATATAATACTCATTAGTTAGGTCTTAACCATTGGGTATAAAAATTGAATGATGAAGGTATGAAAATATGAAACTAGCTCGGATGTTGGTAATATCTGAACTGCAAATGAACCAAACCAGAAACAAAAAAAATACAAAAAAAAAACAAACACAGAACATTTAACATATGAATATAAAGAATTTTTTTTTTATTAATTTAGGCATACTTCATGTTAATAGGTACATTATTATACGGTCATCAGGTCATATATTATATTGTATATATAATATAATCATGATTCATGAAGACTTGAGAGATATTTGTTTTTTATGTCTAATCTTACTGGACTATCGTGTTAAAATAAAGTTTATTATTATTATATTATAATAATATGTACCATGAACTTATTAGGTACCTATTACAATGTAGTACTTCATAGGTGTGCCGTGTTCGCAGGATTTTGTGTCGGGTGCAGCATACATTTTTAACCAGCCCTAAAGAACAATAAGCAGCCCACTCATTTTCCATATATAGCCCCCCCCCCCTGAATTCTGTTTAATCCCACTGTGTAAAAATGTAATATTTTATACATTCATATAATCACTAGTGTACCAGAATCATTATTATAAGGTATAGCCCCCTCCCCCATATAAATTCATCACTTTACGACTATGCCTATTATGGTTATAAGAAATATAGTAAATTGTAAATAAAAAGTAATAATATTTTTATGTATTAAAATATATTACTCTATACTTTTATAATTATATTAAACATCACATAGGTAATATAACACTTATAAGCATATAGTACTTAATTAATAATAAGTATTTATACATTAGTCATAATATTGAAACTCTTAAGAGTTAGGTACGTAAAATAAAAATAAATAAATAGACTTACAATATAAGTCAGCAATTATTAGGAAGCAAATGTTTCAATTCATCAATTGACAATTATACATCATTAAAGTCAATACTAATTAAAAGTTCTTGTTCGACAAACAAAAAAAGAAGCGCATCCAATCTTTTTTTGTGACATAGTATTTCTTAATTTGTTTTTTATAGTGCTGAGTTTTGAAAAACTACGTTCACAGCTACAACTATAGTCACTGGAATTGTCACAAACATTTTAAGACAATTAAAAACATTTTTAATACTGTTTTAACCAATCGAGCCATTTGTGTACAGAACTTGAGTTTGTACCGTTTGGTGTATCTTCTTGGTGTATTGATAAAATAGTATTATCATTTTTCATTTGAATAAAATTGAGCATTTATATTTAAATTTAATAATAAACTAAATATGTTTAAAATTATTCATTCTATGCATATACCTTTCAAATAAAAATCTACCAGCCCACTAAATCCAAAATTAATTTCAGGTGCAACGAAAGCAGCATTCACTGCACCCGTGCGCATGCCTATGTAGTACCTAGGTCATGACGTGGACTAATGTGAACTATGGCACTATGTATTTTTTATAGTATGAAAACTGAAATAGGATAAATGGATTGATATTTATAACTCACCTAGATTTTATGATTTATCACTACTCATGTTTTGACAATCCTGATTCCTGGTGCTAGATGGCACTGCCGTGTATGATTTATTTTTGTTTTTATTTATAATTTATAATTTTCAAACTTTCCGCGATAACCAAAGGGGTTTTCATTTTTTTATTAACCACCAAACATGTCAATATTTAGGGTTTGAGGATAGTCCTAAATATAGTCATTATGAAATAATCTTTAGCTTATTTAATGTGTTGTGCAGAACAGGTCACAGATACGTAGTTATTATATAATTGTGTATTTGTGTAACAATTTATAGTCATAATAATATTATATTATCGGTTGACGAAATGACTTTGAACATACGATAACGACATTCTATCTTTCTTTGGCAGAATGAAAGACTGCCTATGAATGTGAGCAGTGAGTGCATTGACATTGTCTCCTTGCTTATAAATTGTAATTGAGGTGTACCTATTGATTATTGAATATACTATTAAAATAGGAATCATTTATCACAAATTGTTTGAATTTTCAATTTTTTACATATCTACGTCCTACGACTTACGCGTCTTACAAAAAGCACGGTACCTACTGATGTTAAGAAAAAAAAAATTTTTTAATGTAATATTGTCATGAAAGAAAGCGTCGGAACATTTCTCCACCCCTCGATGTTTCGTAAATTTTCGACCTCATGTGAACCACCTGTGATCTATATAACTCCAAAAATATATTTCTTTAATCTCTACCACTGTCTTATATGTTATACAGGTTTTTATATTATTAATATTTGTGTTATCTATATTACTTCAATGTACTCGAATACTCGATGTACCAACCTATACGATGACTGCAGCGTAGTGTAAGTTTCCACACCACCTGTTGTGCTTGTTAAACGACATTATATCACATATTCACATCGTCCATGTTGTATTAGAGGTATTACATGTGGCTCGTTTTTTTTATTGTGGTGTCCCCTGTAGGCCTAATCCACATCGCAAGTGAGAACACGCGAACGCGGGTCGACTACTATACAATATAATACAGGGTTATTCAAAATGATTCATCCGATTTAAAGTGCTTATATTATTTTATTTTTTAGGTTTAGAACAATATGTTATACATTAAATAAAAGAAAAATATGTCAAGTTTAATTAATTGTATCTATAAATGTTCTATGTGAGCTCCTTTGGTTACACGAATAACATCTAGTCGGTAGTAGTCGGATTCATACCATACTTTTTGCAGCATAGACTACATGGCTGTTGTTATTCGATTTTTCAATTCAACTAGATTTGATGGCAGTGGTGGTATGTACACAGTGTCTTTAACATAACCACAAAAGAAATAATCACATGGCGTCAGATCTTTATATAGCCATTTTAAATCGGATGAATCATTTTCAATAACCCTGTATTGTATAATTTACATAGATCAGTACAGCGAAAATTTCACTACTCTTGTATAGCATTTTTCCTTATTTATACATCGATAAGACATATTATAATATGAATAAATAAATAAATAAACATCGAATTTAACGTTGAGTATGTTTTAATTTCGTCTTAACACGGAATTCACACATTTTCGGCTTGCTATAGCGTTGAATTTTAATGTGTTTTAGCCTCGGAGGAGGCAAGCTAGTCTGCTGGTGCCATGGGATATATATTTCAATATTTGTCACATAGTATTATAAGTCCAAGAGGAGTAACAATACAGTAGTTTTAAATTATTAGGATGATATTTCCCGATCCTTTTTTAAAATTCAACACCGTCCTAATATTATAACTATAACTATATTATTATTACTATATTATTATTATATTTATCATATTTGTATTATTTAGAGATTACCAAAGTCCTATTTCTAAGTCTCTTACCGCACTCACTATTCCTATTGGACCTCTTTATTCAACCTGTTTTAAATAATGTCGTGAAACTCGTTTATAAATATTTTTTACAGTTCTGGAACAAAGTGTTTATTTTGTGTATGTAACGCCGGCCGGCGATAGTGGGTGGTGATGTGTTTAGTGTGGAGATGAAATTTTGAGGGGATGACAATACTAAATAAATACATTTTACAAAATAACTAATACATAAAATCATCTTACTTGGTTTAAGCATCCATAGTTTAGCTTACTTATGCGCTGACCAAGACTTATATCAAAACAATTCCTTATCGTCACTTGGACTTAATAACTTTTCTATAAAGCTTTACTGGTGTTGAAACATTGTAGGTGCATAAAACAAAATCAGATCTGTCATCTGTGGCCAGATATAATCCTTCGTTAATAATTGCATTCATTGTTGATGCGTGTTGATGAATCTAAAAAGTGTAATTGTTTTATGTTGAAAATAAAAAGAACTTATACGTTACAGACGGAAATAAACTTAAAAAGTATACTATAAGAAAACTTTTAGAAAACAAAAGTTATAACAGTTATCAGAAAAATTCAAATATTATTAACGAAAGTAAAAAGTAAAAACTGACGTATTATATTATACAAATGTATTTTGAACAAAATTAAAACCGTAATAACATTAATAAGAAAATTAATAACTAGGCAGCATATACTATTGAGCCAGCAAAATTATCTATTATTTATTATAATAATAAAATAATATGAATATTGAATAACTTATTAGTGTACGTTTGTTTATTGTGTGTTTGTGGCCAACACACGTTACAACAAGTTAATACCAAGTAGGATTAGCTCTACACTAAGGCTGCCCCTATTAACGTCCATTATAGTACTATAATACATGTACATGTAGTATTAAAAAAAAAACTACTTAACAAGAAATTAAAGATCTAAGTCTTCCTGTTTAAAGCTATTCTAATTCAAGTTCAAATCAGTCAGAGTTAAAAAATACTTACTCACCAGTCAACTGATTGAAAATAATTGTAATAGCATTAGATATTGATTAGGGCATTAATGAGATAGGAGAGGTGAACCACGTCGTCCAGAAATCTGAACTTGCAGTAATTTAAATAAATACAATTTACTGGCCTAAAAATGATGTAGTAGTCACAGTTCAGTATTTACTGTTACTGTTTCACAAAAATATTAAAAATACAGGTAGTAGGTACATAAATATACATTTGAAACTATTGTTAATAGATTTACAGTGTTAAGGGGAAATCATACAGGAAATCTTTATAACGTATGCACCCCTAAAAATATTGGTCTAGTTGCACCTATGTAAGGGAGACTTTAGGACTTATAAGTTATAATTATTTGTTTGTGTTTCTCTAAAATTTATTTCTCAATTTCGATGCTCATGAGGAAGAATTACATGACGTTTTTTGGCTGACAGTTTGGTCCCTAAAATGTTTAGAGCTCAACTGGAATATGAAAAGGTCATTTTAAGAGCAAATTCCTATACAAACGAAGGACAGAAGATAAATGACTAATACAATTAACAGTTATTTTGAGTGAAATTAACAAATAGAAATAATTATTGGCTATAGCAACAATAACTTTTAGACAATATTAAATAATATAAAAATCAGTACTAAATACCAAAAAGGATTAAAAACTAAGATAATAATAATATGTCATATGTACATTATTGATGTTAAGTCAAATAACAATTTTATAAAACTAGGTAGGTTGGTAGTAAGTGAAAAATATATAATATCAAACATAAATATTTACAAAAGGTATAGTACATACGCAATACGCATAGTATCATAATCAATATATTTAATACTCAATCTTTGTCCCTCCATGATTAATTTATAGGTTTAATTTTATTACCTATCTAACCATAAACTATATTTTTAACTAAGTATTATTATTATATTAATTATAACTAATATTATATTATCTACCCATTCCCGCATAACTATTAAAAAAATCAATGAATGTATATTGATTGAAATTAATGAATTTTAAATTAGGTATATATTAAGCAACCCTTATAAGCATTAATCATCAGTTAATAACCAATCGTAGTTTTTTTTTTTAAAACTGATCGTGTGGTCATAACTCATAATGTTTTAAAATACCTATATGGCTACATTTAATCGTTAATATTTAATACTTATCTATAATTCAGCATTTTAAAAGACGAGCATTGATTAATATAATTAATAAATTAATTATTTTAAGTTTAGGTAGGTATAATTTGATTAAAATTTAATTACCTAGTGATTTGTGACCACGATTATAGAGAGTGAGCTTAGAGACCGCCGACCGAGAGTATGACGCAGACAGCATTCAATGGTAAGTAAAATTTACCACTTACATTAGAGTAATGTTTGATCAACAATGACTAATTATTTTTCTGCTTGATGGCGGACATGGGGCAACTTGGGAATTATCAAAAGTGGGCTGATGGCATAAAGTAAACAAATTAAATGTCTTATAAATCTTCGTTGTTAAATCCTGTGTTAACTTTATTGACCCGTTCTTTATAATTTAGCAGATTTGGTATTTAAAATCCACTTATCTCGACCAAAGAGCATTTCATCAGGAGTGTTATACACTTTCAAATTTGTTATTTTTAAACGTCGAGTGTTTTGGTCGAGTGCTTGTTGTAAAAATCACAGAATTGAATAATATTGTATGATGACCCTTCTTCTTCAAGTATGTATTAAGATTTATGATATCGTTATCTATTATAATTTATAATGTAATAAAAAAATATTATGTAGTAGTTAAAATTGTAATTGTAAAATTGTTCAACTGTGAAAGTGATTTTTAACAATTATTTTCATGAATCGTATAAAAAATGATAAGCTGATATATAGGTCGAGATCAAATTGTTATAAGTAACCATCGAATGTATAATAAATGACAGGTTCCTTTTTTGCTCATATTTTCTTTTATTTAAATTATTATACTTTTCAAAGTCAAAAAAAACGTTCACTATCACATAATGACGTATTTACGAGGAGGATCCAAGGGCTTACCTCTCCGATTGGTCCATATGTAATAATTTAAGACTCATGACGAAGTTATTTTTTCACTAGATTATTAATGTAGCCTACAAGTTTGTGTTAAAAAAATATGTTTACCCCCTTCCCCCATGAAAAATTACCTAATCTAAATACACTACTCAACTACTGTATCGCAGACCACAGTCCTAAAAATTTAGGAAGGTACTTCAATCTAATAATATTTTTACATTGAAATATTGGACTATAGGTTTGTAGATAATAATTAATTTCGTTAATGATTTAATGTCATCATTCATCTTTGATATTACATTCCTAGAAGTACTGAGTGCGTCTATATGGGGGGACGAAGAGGTGTTCACCACCCCCACCATATCTTGAGAGATTTTTAGAAATTCTGTTAATTATTTTAGTTAGTTTTATTTATTTTTTCTGTAATTGTACTGTTTCCGATTACATTAATACATTAATATTAATGATTAATGATTCATAGGTACATGCGTATACTCATAGACATTAATTATTAATAATAAATTAAATGGTTATAGTGTTATACTACTTATGCTCATATTTTAATAAATGTATATTATATTCTGTTGTCTCAATAATATTATCTATATGACTATATGTGTTTAATATTGTCTATCTATCTATAACCTCTATAATATCTAACCTCATATCTATATTATTAAGTCCATCACAATTCACAACAATAACATTTTTTTTTTTAAATTTTAAGTTCAATGGTTTATTTTAGTTAAAATAATGAAAAACTATAATTAAAAAAAAGCTGATAAGTGGATGTCGCTCTGCTGTACAGTAGGTTACAAGTGGATCATTGTATAATGGATTGTATTAAACTTGCTTATTTAGCTGTGCGTCGAGCGGCCGAGGACTCTCGGAAGTCGGAATAGTACGCGTCCCCGGGTTGCGGATTTGGGGGGGGGTCGCCCCGCAAAGGTCCGTCCCCGGCTCCGGAGGATGAAGCCGGTCGATCCGTCCCCGATGGACAAGGGTGTCGGTAGGGGTAGAGCGGCGGTAGGCCTATTGAAGCACGTACTGATAAAGGTCCGTCCCCGGTGGACAAGGGTGTCGGTCGCGGTGCGGGTGGATTAAGCTGAATTCCGCTCCGTGGACAGCTATGATTAAATGACCCGTGGGTCAAAGGGGATGCCCCTCCTTTGACACACGGTCGTTCGCGAGGCCACGAATTAGAATTGGTTTGCATACAATTAACAGTCAATATATAGGTACTTATGTTTTGAAATATCATGAAAAACCTGTATCTATTATAATTAAAATCGTTTAATTGTAATCCGTGTAGTAATGTATTCATAAATCAAAATTAATAAACGAAAGAAGGGTAATCACGTTCTTTATAAAATATAGGTATAAAAATGTATACAATTAAAGTTAAACGCACGGAAAAAATCATTTGTATAGTTCTATAATATTAAATATACAATTCTGATTTATACGTTATTGATTGTCAATAATGTCATATTATATTATGTAGGTGGATTGAAAGTACAACTAATAACTATTAAAATGATTTTATGTGATCGATGTTTTTACATTCGTCTAATAGCCCTATAGGAACCTACAATGCATTACCATCTGGTACCTAGCTATTTTTCATATAGTACCAGAAAATTCACCCCTAATGAGTAATGAGCAGATTGACCACTCAAATATCTCAAAATATAACAGTAGATACAAGTAGGTACGTATTATTTACCTATTTTACCTACTAAAAAAATGTATTTAAAAAAAAGTACACCACTTATTATACATTTATACATAATATCTAAATATCTAAATAAATGTATGAAACAACAACGAATACCGTTCACTTTTAAGGAATACAATATAGGCAATATTATTAGTGTGCACTGTGCAGGTAATAAATCATACACTAACTGGTGTTATTTTATGAGTTAAAAAATGTTTACACGATTTTGTACATTTTGTCAAATTTGTTTATAACGAAAAAAATTGTATTGTTGTTTGAACATGCAGATTATAATTCATATGTTGATTCCTTTTTATACATGCTTACAAAATAAAATTTAGTGCAAACATTCATCGTCAAATAAAGTAAAAATTTTAAATGGGTTTTTAATTTCTAATGGACTAACATTGTATTATAGCTCAATAGTTAATAATTCAAATGAATGTTACTTATAGGATGACTTCTGTAGGTAAATCGGACGTCATCGCAATTCTTGTTTTTCAGGAGTTATCGTTTTAGACTAGAAGCGACAACATCACTATGCATTTTGATCGTCAGAACCACTTATTGAGCTGGTGTAATTATAAAATTATGTTAACGAATTTTTTTCCATTTCTGGTTTTTTTCGATACGATGACCACAGCTTAATGATTCATATGGGTGGATTTTATATAAATATCTATATCATTATAATCGTCCATTAACCGAATCAATTTGTCATTAACCAGAAGCTTTTGAATACATATTAGTATCGAGTAAAATAATATAGGTACCTACTTTTCGTGTATTATTGTTATTATAATTTATTCATTTCGTTATGGTTCAACTTTCAACACAGTCAAAATATTAATATAATTAATATTACAAATAAAATATGTATCGTATCGCTTTGAATTCGTTTCAAATTCTCAAACATTACGATGTCGTACCTATCTATATTGAGCAGAACATAACGCTTGGATATTGTATATATTATTCTCCTTTTGGCAAGGTCGTGCCATAGGTTGGTCCGGTCATTAGCCGTGCAATAAAACCAGTATTCTCGACGATCCATCGCCTCAGTTACCTTATTATTATTCTCCCCTGTCAAACACTCTACATCAAAAGTTGTTCCTTATTTCGATGTATTGTAAGTTGTAACGCAATCTAAATACATTTTAAATTGTCTGCATTGTCAGAAGATATCAAATATTTCTTTGAATTCTTTTTATTTGAGTCACAACTTGCATTTATACATTTTAGTTGTATTAAAATATAATAACAATTAATATGAGTTTGTTATTACTTGCAGTTTATATTTTTTACTTCAAAATGTTTATACTTTTTACAACACCCATCCAATAACACGTTTAAACTTAATTTATAAAACTTATTATCATTTACCAAACAATTTCAATATACAAATGACATAGTTATCTAATAAATTCAATTTTTTGTTGATTTTTGTCTATCAGAAAACGCAAATACCATTAATTATTTCAATAAAGACATAGGTACGCAAAACCATTATACAACTTGCACATTTAATCAAACTACTATAACTTACTACCTATATCCGATAAATTGTTAAAAACTAATAAACTTATGAAGTTGTAATTACAAACAATTTGTTTTTACAATGATATTAACTTTAAATATATTATGTAATACGTACGGCTAATGGCTATCCTTCCTACAGTATATAGGTACCTACTCTGTATAATGTACAGAGTGACGAGTGTATTATAATACTATTGAATTTATACACATAAATTCAATAACATAAATTATTAGTATTTACCGGTTACAATCTATACATTCAAATCATACTTATCAAAATAAAATTTAGCATCATACATTAAATTATTGCTTCCAGTTATTTTAACCGACATAGTTAAGAATCAAATTATGTATATGAATTATAAATTATAATACTTATATTATGAAAGGAATGATAAATATGGTACAAAAATATTGTGTATAATAAAATTGGAAATCATAAAATTGTTAGAGTCTATAACGAATGGACCAGTTTATGCATGCCACTTGTAAACATAACCTGCTGATAAATGTTTTCTGACAGTATTTAAAAATACGCCTAATATGTGAGTGTGTATAAGAATTACGTGATTAACATTAATTTCGGAAATAAATATTTTTCATAGCAACTTATTAGATTGCTGTTGGAGATTTAAATGAATAAATTTTTCATAAAATAAGGACTATACTAAAGGACATGACCAAGGATGATTATGCGCTGTTGAATGTATTGGTATGAATAATAATGATATAATATCTATCAATCGAGTGAAAAATTAGACGTTTTTGGATTATTGATTTCTGATATAGCTTCGTTTCAGCGGATGCTTATGCAACCTTAACCCAAATTAAATAATTCACTAAGTTTGTTTGTGTATACGAATTCACATGCCGCGATTTATTAGATACGTGTTTTTAATAAATTTCTTATAGTAATTCAAGATTAAAATAGCTTATGCAGTTATCAGGGTCTTAATTGTTTTGATTTAAAAAAAAACATTGAACATATTACATTACTCATGCAGTTGAATACAATGTTAAAACGTTAATGATCTGTACTTCTGTACTTCTGTATTCATTCACTATTTTATTGTATTTCACCAATTTATTTAGGTTTAAGTGAAGTTCAAATTTTAATCTACTTACAAATTTTATTATGAAAAAGAATCATCCATGACCCTCTGTGAACCTATACAAATTAAAAAAAATAGTATAGTATTAATTAATCAGGTATCCATTTAAGAACAGCCGACGATTAGTAGTGAAGTGAAGAATGACATAACTATAATAACTCATAATAAGAACCAAACAGTAAAAACGAAATGTAATATTATACAGAAATATTGAACTTTATATGGATGTATTAAACAATATTATTCCTTACAGCTATAGTAGGTATCTATGGTTATAATTGGAATTGAATTAACAATTCGAATATAAAATCTAAACACTCTAAGCTATGCATAATATTCAATATGACTTTGTAATATTTATATTGCAATGTAATTATTTTCCTATTATTGATTAAAAAAAACACGAAGTTGCTTTGCTGTATACCTAGTAGTAGATTTTGAGTATATTTCGTAATTAAGTAGGTAATGGAAAATATAAAATCATATTATGAAATTTGATTTCAATATTAAATCAATGCATTCAAAAAACAACTCTTAGCGGAGACTGTGTGTCACTGTCAGTCTCTATTACTAAAAATATTACAATTAGTTTTTGTTTCTGGTAATACGGTAGATAGATACAACTAATTTTTACCAAAAACATCGAATATTTTAATGTAAATTAACTTATTAGTCGATAAAAACTTACCACGGGTAAATTGCTTAAAACTAGTCTCAATGTAAAATATAAAAGTAAAATAATAAAATATATTGTAAATTGTATTTATTGTAGACATTTTTTAGTTTTTACTGTAGAAAGATGCTTAACTTCAATATGTTTTCTGATAGGAAAATAAATTTAGATGTACCTACCTAGTTTGTGTGGTAAAAACTCAAAAGTAAAACATTTCCAGTACTATTCATAATAATAATAACTAATAAGGAAAGCAATTAGAGAATACCAGGAATTTTTACACAGAACCTGTTCTCAACAAAATCGATTTATTTATTTTGTTGTAAATCTAACTATATTATATATATCTATATTCTATAATATGAAAATGAATTGCTGAATGTTTTGCTAAGCGCAAATCTCGAGAACGGCTGGTCCGATTTGGCTCAAATTTTTGTTTAAGATGTTCGTAATTGCCAGAAAGAAAATTTTAGGAAAATCCACCGGAAAAGTAGGAAATCTGGATGTAAAAAAACAACAACAGTGGCGCAACAGTGTATTATATATTGGTTGCTATTGGTTAATCGGGCATGTTTGTAATTTTGTATTATTATATATAAAAATGAATTTTTGTGTGTAGATTAGACCTCTGGGAAGATGCCAGGCTAATTTAAAAATGGTTAAATTTGGTTTCTTTTTTATTCATTGGATTTTAGTACTGTTAGGTTAGGTTAGAATTTTGTATTAATAAACTATGATATTATTATTAGGTACCTATATAAGTATTATTAAGAAGTTTATGTAGAAGTCAAAATGATGGTGATACGTGATAACAATACTAAACATACCAGCCATAGTAATAAAAGTACATTACTTTATATTATATTCATATATATTATCTTAATATATATAATTCTACTGTACGTGTGTTGTGATTGAACTCCTCCTCCTCCTAAACGGTTTGAGCGATTTGAATGAATTTTTTTGTATTCGTTTGGGTGACACCCCGGATTGTTTAGATTCATATATAATCCCCCTAGGTCCAACCAGGGGATGTGCTCAAACGGTGGACATATTTTTGTTTATAAATGGTTGCCATGGGTTTTAAAACTATTATACCTAATAATAATTATTGGTAGCAGTAAAATCAGTGATTCATTCAATGCATTTAATTTTTTTATACACTATCTTTT